TAGACAAAGGTTGAGAGCAGGGCCAGAGACCTAAATCTTCCCAATCCCAAGGCTACAGTCATAGCTCCTCCTGAGTCCTCTCTCTCACTTGTATTCTAGAATAAGAGCTTCCACAGAGGGAAGTGATCAGGAATGTTATATCAAGAATATCTATCCTGGACTAGCTACCTGCATAGGCAGACCCTAATAGATGACTGTCCAACTGCATTGTATGTAACTCTACAGAATACATCTGCTACTATATGATCATGACACAGATCATATCCAATGTAACATTGCTCCTATCATTTTACTTGAGAGATAATTGGGTACTACCATTGCCCTTCCTGGCAGCAGCCACTCATACCAGAACTAGTTGCAGTGCATTGGTGATGTGTGCCAAAATGTCAGGTCCTTCCAGACAGTAAGTATTATAGTAATTTTATGTTTGGCAATTTTTGTTGGTCAGGTAGCAACCACAAATATAGGGTCCACACCAAAAGTTTCCAACTCCATTTGGGGGAATAAGAATTAATGGATCCTGGCACTTGTCCAAAGTAATTTGCTTTTCTCCTTTCCCACCGACAAAGCAATTTCTTGCCATTCTCCAGTCTTTGAGGACACCTATCAGACAGTTTTTTGTGTCTTGGGCCAAACAGCTCTTCCTTGTCTGCTGTGCCTACTGGTGAAGTCCTGCATAATCCTACTCATTTAAAAGCTGCATCCATGACTACACGGCATTTGGTTGTAAACAGCTTCTTTGTAACAGTGGTACTCCATGTATCAATGCAGAAAGCAACAGAGTTGCCTGCTGTGTGAACATCAGGACCCAGAATGTTTAGGGATGACACAGCGCTGGATTGGATATGCTCTCTTGATGGCTTTTGCCCAAACAGATGTTTCTGACATATTTGGCTCACTAGGGAGATAAGACAAGAGTGGTTTTCATAGACAGAGAATTTTTTAAGGCCAGAAAGAACAATTAAGTCATCTGGTTTGACCTCTTGGGTAACAACAGACTATAGAATTTCATTTCTCTTGTATTAAGCCCAATATCTTGCACAGTTAGTTGCTAGCCACAGTTGAATGTAACACTTTTGAGCAAAGAGGAAAGGGAAAGGATATTAGTCCGAAGCATTCTTCTTCAGCTGGTTAACTAGATCCCACTTCATAGCATTATCCTATTACAGTTTATACTAACATGCAATTTAGTGGGCTGTGCTGCCAGCGCTTATCGCTGCTCTGCCAGGAAAAAGTGGGCAAAAAATAGCCAATATTGCTGCCAAAGGGATTTTCCCTCCAGCCTGGGAGGATGCTCTGAGGGTGTAAATCCACTATAGCAGTTCCTCCACTTCTCACTTTGACTAGGGTAAATGGTGGAGCTGCTGCTGCGTTGGATGCTGGGGATTCCTGGTTAAGGAACTGGCAGCTCAGGAAATGCAAAAGTATAAAGGACCCCATCCTGAGATGTGACTTGATCCCACAGAGCCATCTTGGCCATTGTATCAATGGCTAATCTGAAAATTATGTGCACCATAGCTAAGGGTGTTGTAGATTTTAACAGTCCAACAGACAATATAGGCCTTTTCTGATGGCACCTTGTCCAGAGCTGCCTCCTTAACACTGCAACATATGCAATCAAAAGCCAACATTACACCTTTTGAATGTCTTCATTTCAGTCAAATGGTCCTCAACCTGAGCTGAAATATTGTCATTCCCTGAACCAGCCAGGAGAAGTCAGGTGACTTTTGGCTTGTGTCAGTGACTCCAGAAATGCCTGTCTTCCTTCAAGATCCATACGGAATCAGTGCCCCAACAAAGCAGTAGGGGTACTGCAGTGCTGATGTTGCTACTTTCCTTGTGAGATATGAAACCCAGGCTGTGGCCGCTTGATGTGATAAAAGCTTTCATGGCTCTTTTTTTCAGGATTAGCTGTTTTGGTATGGTGCCTTTAGCTAAATCCCAAATTGGGCAATTTAATTCTGTCCAGCTAAAATTTACCCCTTTGTTTTAGCTACAAAAGTCATGACCTATTCCCTCCTGAAAAGGTGTGCTCTGTAATTAGCAGAGAATAACTGCTGTGGCTTGATCCCAGAAGTGGCTCCATTTCCAAGGCATGGTGCAGGAATAGGGGTGCAGGAGGGGTTTGGCCCCCTGCAATGCATCTGGGCCTCCAGGCAAATGAAAAAATCTATCTGCAAAAGTAAGCATTTATTATTAAGTTCAATTTTATACTTAGCATTGAAGGTTGAACCATGACCATTGCAACAGTGCTCAGCATAGCTTTGTGAATGACTGGCAGCCCAAGACTGCAAAATACTGGGCACCCTCCCATCCTGCTATTTTCAATACAATTCTACAGCATTCAGCACCTCACAGTATCAAGCCCCCTCTGCAAATCCAATCCACCCTGTTCATTAAGGCACTTAGGCAGGGGTTTGCTATGAATTGGGGAAAATATAGGGGCTGCCTAGCTCTAGCAGAACTCAGAAAGATGCTTGAGAGAAAGGCAACAAGCCACTGACATGGCTGAATTCAGCCCCTGATACTGAGGTCAAATGCAGACTATTCTAATGATCAGTTCAGGCAACTATAAACTGGTGGGCTGATTTTTAATGTAGACTCTAAAACACAGAAAATCATTTATCACAGCTCCAAACCAGACACCGCTTTTCTATTTTTTCCCAGTTTGAAATAGCTGTCAGCTACTCAAGAAATCTCAGGTTTTCAGTGATTATATTCTATGTGCAACAGCTGACTGCACCAGTCAGTAACCCGGTCATATACCTACAGGATTTTCCAGCAGAGATGAGCATATTCTCCACTCACTCTCTTTTTCCTAAGCAAAGTCACGACACACAATTGAGGACGGAGTGCTGGGCTGGGCAGTGCTCCAGAAATGTCAGGTGTGTGTTTTGATAAGCAGCATGCAGATCCCTGAAAAGGTCAGTGCACATCTTTAGGATTTCATTCAAATGCCGTGTGTGACTATACATATTACCCTCCCTCACAGCTCTCAGCTGGATAGCCTGCCTCATTAGTTCTAGCTGCAGAAATTCACATGTCCTACTTTGGAGTCCCTGATTATACTCAAAACATCAGCCTTCATGCACATTGCTCTCATAACACACAGTACTCAAAGATGCCTACATTTCCTACTGAATAAAAAGGAGTAAGCAAAATCTAAGGAAGGATACTATGAGCAAGAGACAAAGCATGTCTCTCTTGCTGCCCCTAAACACATTTTCCTCCTATTCCTCCTTTTTCTCTTATTCTTCCATACATACAAAGGTCCTATGGCTGATTACAGAACTATTTTTAACTCCCATTTGTTTTGCCAGATCATCCTCAAGTGAGATGACTGAGGGAAGAAGAAGAACTAGGGGCAGGAACTTGGTGAAGGTAGGCAAGGCCAGGGTGTCCAGATGGTCCCTTCAAGTACCAGTGACTCCAGTTGCTGAAGAATGTAGTGTAGCCCAATATTTGATCACTGTCAGTTTCTCACCCAGACTGTCCTCCATTTATTAACCCTATTTATAGTCTCAGGCTCTTTCCCCAGTACCACTCACTACCTCAGCACATCACCCAGCCATACACAGCCCTATTTCTCCTGTCACTCATAGTACTCCATTGATTTCTCTCTCCTCCAAGAGTAAAGGGTAGAATCATCTGTTCCTCTCCCAAAGGGGAGTGGAAGCAATAGGAATCTTCTCCCTTGAGTCTTTACAGGAAGCAGAAGCATCTCCTCAGCCAAGCAGAGCGGAAAGAGGAGTCTTTTCTCCCTGACCCCTGAGAGGGATCTAGGTAACCAGCCCTGTACAGGCCCTGGCAGATCAGCATTTATACCTCGTGTTCTCTTTTACCCCTCCCTAAACATGCCATGAAACAAAAAAAAAATCAATTCAGACACTTCTGGATGCCATTTGCACAACTCTGCAAACTGCAGTTTAAAAAATGCTAACAAGAAGGAGTGGGCTGGGCAGCCTACAGCCAAGGGAGTTAGGAGGAGTGAGTCTATGGACAGTTTATGAATAAAATACCAAGTGTGGAGCATTCAGCATTTGTTGTGTTTACTAGTCACTGTCTCCTCTGTGATGGTCTCATTACTGTAGCTTTCTATGCACTCAGGTCCAAACTTCAATCCCATTTCTCCTGTCACTCACAGTACATTAGTATAGCAAAGCTCCTATTGACTGATAGTAGGATTATGGCCTATAATATACTGATTAGGGAAGATTTAGGACACAATGAGAAAACATAATGTAACTTCCCCCCATCTTTGAATATCAGAAATGATTCCTTGTAATCCAGGCCATAAAACCCTTACCATCTGTGCATCGTAAAGTCTAGCTCACCAGTAGGGTCATTTAGAAATATCTCACCTAATCAATACCCAACCAGAACAGTGATTTCAGGCACTGATTGCTTTGATCTTTACCTATGTCACACTAGATCTGGGAGGAGGAAGGCCAGGGGAGGGAGTATGTGTAGGGGAGTATTGTTCAAGTTTAGCTGGTTTTGTTTTTTGAAGACTGCCATATTTGGCTTAACTACAGTCTTTGGGCTTGATGTAAGCTGAAAATTAAAGGCCTCTGCAGGCTAATCTACACCCCAGTGGTGTGTCCTGACCAAGATGGAGCTAAATACCCTGCCCTTGCCCCAACCACCCAGGCCTGTACCCCAGTGTGGCAGTCCTGGACTCATCCCTAACAGCCATTCTCAAGCACACCAAAGAATATAGGCTCAAGAGCTGCCTCAAGAGGTACACCTGCAGGAACCTTTGTCAGCAAATGTAAAGTTCAGAGCATGCCTGCTTTTACAGGGAGCAGGGTGTGTTCAGACACATCCTGGCCAAGACGTACCATCACCACAGTGTAGTCAAGCCCTGAGAGGCAGGAGGTCAGGTGAGATTATCAAATGATTCTTTCTGGATTTAAATTTCTCTGACAGAAAATAAATTCAGACTAAGTTTTCCCCCTGTGCACCTTTCAGCAATAATCTTCCTGCTTCTCTTTCTGCAGAACTTGAGCAGAAAACATGACTATGGTGTTGGCCCATGGTATGGATAACAACAAAGCTGCTTTTGTTCTCCCTACATTATTGCTACCACTACAGAATATCAGCTACACTGAAACCTCCATGCCTCTGGCAAGCCATGAAATGAGAGATTCATCCAAGGAGCACAGGCCAGAGAAGAACAATACAGTTTTGCATTATGAACTGAGGCCAGGGGAAATAGTAGCTGCCAGCCTAGTTTTTGGAGCACTGTGGCTGTTTTCTGTCTTTGGGAACTCCCTGGTTTGCTTAGTGATCCACAGGAGCAGGAGGACTCAGTCTACCACCAACTACTTTGTGGTCTCCATGGCTTGTGCTGACCTTCTCATTAGTGTGGCAAGTGCTCCATTTGCACTGCTCCAGTTCACCTCTGGCAGGTGGATGCTTGGAAACGTTATGTGCAAGCTAGTGAGATATTTTCAGTACCTCACCCCTGGAGTACAGATCTACGTGCTGCTCTCTATCTGCATAGATAGGTTCTACACAATTGTCTACCCATTAAGTTTCAAAGTATCCAGAGAAAAAGCCAAGAAAATGATTGCAGCATCTTGGGTCTTTGAGGCTGCTTTTGTGTCCCCAGCTTTCTTTTTTTATGGCTCCAGCTGGGACAATCATTGCAACTTTTTTCTCCCTTATTCTTGGGATGGAACTATCTTCAGCATCATGCATCTCCTGGTGGGGTTTTTGATTCCTTCCATTCTCATCTTCCTGTTTTACCAAAAGGTCATCAAGTACATTTGGAGAATAGGCACTGATGGCAGGACAGTCCGGAGGACCATGAATATTGTTCCAAGGACAAAAGTGAAAACCATCAAGATGTTCCTGATGTTGAATTTAGTGTTCCTATTGACCTGGCTCCCCTTTTATGTGGTGCAGCTGTGGCACCCCCAGGAGACAGACTACAGAAAGAGTTCCTTAGTTTTCATGGCTATCACTTGGATATCCTTTAGTTCTTCAGCCTCGAAACCTACCTTGTACTCTGTGTATAATGCAAACTTCAGGAGGGGGATGAAAGAAACATTCTGCATGTCCTCCATGAAATGCTACCGAAGCAACGCGTACACCATCACTACCAGTTCAAGGATAGCCAAAAAAAATTATGTTGGAATCTCAGAAATCCCAGTGCCGGCAAAAACAGTGACCAAAGATTCAATCTATGACTCATTTGACAGAGAAGCAAAGGAAAAAAAACTTGCTTGGCCTATCAATTCAAACCCACCAAATACATTTGTTTGAGTGATTTAGTTGTTTTGAATAATTATTATGCACCACAAAATCAAAGAGCTTTATCTCTTTTTTTGGAACAGATGTATATTTACATATTTTGGCATACAACTGTTAGGGAGAAAAAGATGCTTTATTTTATTAAATGCGTTAATTTTGTTGCATACAGTATTTTTATTTAGTTACATTCTGCTTTTTGGAACAATTAGACTCATGGAACAATCTTTTTAAAAAATCTCACACTATCTGCATGTAAATGAAAGGAAAAACACTTTTTTCAACTGTATATTGGCCACTACATATAAAAATGTAAACCCACTGAGTCCACATTGGCTCCCTTATTACTACCCTGCTGAGGTGTTGGATTGTATCTTTTGAAACTAACTGCTCCACTTGAAGTTAATGATAAAACACCTTTCAGTGGGAACAGCAGCTCAAGCTGGGGCTGAATGTATTTGAATATCCCACCTGGTATCTGTCATGGTCTCCTGTAGAGGAACTCCCTTATCTTGTCACTTTTGTCTGACTTCTTAACATTCATAAGGCTACATTGACATTGCAGTCAAAAGTGTAATAGCAGCATGTGGAGACATGCCTGAGCTAGCTTTAGTCTAGCTGTTGCCTCACAGGTGTCACTCCAGTGAAGACACTGAGTCCTCACTTCATAAGCATACCCTATGCTGATTCATCTTTACAACTGTCAGATTACAGCATCTGCCTACACTTGCTGTAATCACACCCCTGACAGCAGTGTAGATGTGGCCCATGAAACATTTTTCCCTTCACCTTGATCAATGGAAGAAGTACAAAACTAAGTCTGCAACTTACAAAGACTTACAAACGTACAAAGATTTTTCACACAAGTTCATTAGAACTGATCATATGGATAAGGCAGAAGGCAGGGCCAGGTGCTACCTGAGAGACTAAGGGGTTCAGAGAGACATGAGCTTTTGTAGGGGACACACTACTTTGTCAGATGCTATGAAAAGTTATGGGTAAGATTTCTATGGGTAAAATAAGGTTCTTTAAGATACGGACTCAGTCCTTATGTACCTCAGAGGAACTAGAATTGAAATCGAGGCTTTGAAAAAAAAGACCAAGGACGTGCACAGGAACTTGTGTCACATGTGTGAGCTCCATGGGATGGTGTGACAGGGTTTACACCCCCACATGACAAAGGAAGGCTGAGATAGGAACCAACCCCAAAGCAAATGATGAAAGAACAGCCTGGTCAGTTGAAAGGTGGAGCTTTCATGTTGAAAGGAGCTTTAGGCTGATACCTTGGAGGCGGAGCTGCCCAAAAGAGAGGGCATATGGAAGGAACATACGCAAGAGGAAGAGGAGAATTAGTGCTTTCCCTTCCACAGACAGGCTCTGTCTCTTCACCATGTCTCTGTGCAGCATCTTGCCTAGTAGGGCCCTGACCTAGTGGAGTCACTAGGTGCTACTATAAACCAAGTGATTATTAAAAAGACTTGACAGCTAGCCTCAGGCACTCATGGTATTTTCTGTAAGTGTTTTAAAACCAAATTCCACAACCCAGTAATGTTTTACAAATGTGTGTTGCCTTTAAGGTATGACAAGAATTGTCCAAATACATCAAAGCCATCTTTCTTTTTCTCTCTCTTGATTCTCTGCCATCAAAGGCAATAGACATTGCCAAATAATATGATTACTAATAAGAACTGTCACATTTTTCACCAGCTTCTATTACTATTGCCAGTATAAAACCAGAGTAAGCTGGCATTCCCCGTTTGATCAAAACAGCCTCTTGGCTTATGTGCAGGGAGAAAGAAACATAGCTGTGCTCCTTATCTATCCCCAAGGACATAGTAGTCCCAGCAATGAAAAAACCCCACAGCATTGCATTCAGGGAGCATTTGCCATCACATTTTAGCTGCTTGCTGGATAGGAGCACTGGAGAAGGGCTCCCTGGTTCCCCCTTCCCTGCTACGGCACCAACACGGACAGATGTTATATAATATGTACCTACTAGAATTGTTACAAGAAACAACTGGCACGTAGGCTTCACAATGGGTAAACATGGCTCCTGCTTATCCTTCTGTAAATGCAGGGAACAGAAGATGTACGTTTGACACAAAGCAACCAACTAGTGCTCCTGGGACTAGCCGAAGTGGAAGAGCTGTGCCTCCCCAGAAAACAGGAAGAGGCTTTTTTTGCCTGTAGCAGAGAAGGGGAGTGACAGTCCCTTGCTCTCTCTTCCATTAACCCCAGATTCAATTAATGGTCATTCTGTTCCAGCATCTGGTCTATGACAAACTGGATAATTCCGAGGAAAATGTAAATGGGCCCTGTTCTCTAAGTACTACTCTAGCGTGTCATTTCTGGAGGTGGCTACCCACAATGGCCTTAGGAGCTGTGCCAGCACCTGTAGCAATACAGGCAAGTCAGCATGACAAAAATATAAAGTGCAGCTTGATCAAGCCTAGCTCTTTTTATTTCAAGGTCCCAAACTGCAGGCCCAATTCCTTAATCCGTATTCAGTCATAAGGATATATAGCTGACTGCATACGCACCAAATGCAAGACTAGACCCCGTGTTAAGTCAATATAATATATAAACAAATTTATAGACTCACACATACAGGCACATCCAGCTTGCAAAATGCAATACCCAAGTTTGGAAATCTAATGACTTCTACTGTCTACTGACAGCATCCAATGAAGTGAGCTCAGGCTGATGAAAGTTCATGCTATATACATGTGTGATTTAGTCTATAAGGTGCAAATCTACCCTGCCTTCTACTGTCTAACCAAGCAGACAATTTTAGGCATTTTCCTTCTCCAATTATGCATAAATAACCACTTGGTGGCACTGTGGACACTGGGCAAATATGTCCCGCTGTTGTTTGTAATGCTTGTCACAGCTGTGGTGCCAGCTAATTGCCAGTTTCATAGCAACAATGCCAAAAAAGAACTGTTTAAATATCAAAGATATCAAAAGGCAGCTGCAGCCATAAAGGAGAAGTTGATTAATTTATGCTTGTGAACAAAATATAGAACGAAGTGCAAGTTCTGGGTGAAATTCCAAAACAATATCCCTAACAGACTGCAGATGGTTTCAATTTCTAACCAAAATACTAAGAATACATTCTAGAAACATAAGCACATAAGATAGTTAGTTGCTACCTCAGTCCAATCAACCTTACATTTGAGCTTAACGAAATGGACAGATGAGTCTCAGGTCTGTTGACTGAAGGATTTACTTGTCAAATGAATTTCTTCTATGTACATGCTGGAAGACTTGATAATTCTCATGTGAACGAACCCTCAGTCATCCCGTGGATGACAAGACTGAGTCACAAAAAATCTGGAGGACAGTAAGCATGAAGGTTGAAGGAAAAGTATTTTTTTGCTTGATGTACACATAAGCAGCGTAGCTGAGAACTTGACTGTGTTGAACACCAAGTTAATAAATATAATATATGATAATGTACATAATGTAATATTTATTACATTGCATCCCTGGAGAATGCGAATAATTACCATAGGTTTGTCTACATAGAGGTAGTGGCAACTCCTGACAAGGGGACAGCCAAGTCTCAGCTACCCTTCTCCGCAGACGCACTCCAAACCTGGAAGCTCAAGGAGGCCACCTAGCAAGCCCAAGAGTGACTTCACTGGTGAACTTCCATATGTGGCTTGGACCTGCAGGTGAGCAGGTCCAGCCTGTTTGGAATTTGCTGCTGCTCTTCATCTAGACAAGCTATAGAGATCTGCGGAAGGGATACAACACAGACAATAGCAGTACAAGCTTCCCTCACCTTCCCTATTGTCCTGCTTCAACCATGAACTGAAGAGTTTAATTGTATTCACAGAAGGGTATTCAATTCCCCATGGCCAATCCACCAAGATCTGAAATGGGCATTTTTCCCTTCTATAGAATTTCATTTGGAGAAATGCCCCACTGAACTCAACAGACTTACAGTGGAGCAAAACCAGAGCAAGCAAAAAAATCAAGCTTTAAGATTTTAGGCAGAGGCTTGTGGTAAAATCCTAGCCCTTACTGAAGACAATGACAATGCTCTTCTGGGTTTTCAGTGGAGGCAGGGTTGCACACCCAGATTTTTAAAAAAAGTTTATTAATTAGAGAATGGCCTTTGATCACAGATACACTAAATCTCTGGGGCTCACAGAAGTCTGAGCTCCACCATTCCTAAGTTCTAGCCAGACAACATACCTAGCTTCTAACCAGCATTTTTTCCAACCATAGATCACAAAGCACTTTATTGAGAATGTGAGGATCATTATCCCCATTTTACAGATGAGGAAACTGAGAGGTAAAGGGACTTGCCCAACTCCTCCCAACAGGCCAGTGACAGACCTGGGAATGGCCTAGAGGCAGAAGTTAATTAGAGAAGCTCCATAACAGCTTTTAGATATGATTCATTGTCATGTCATACCAGTTTTTTGCTGGAATGACTCAAGAGAAATCAATGTAGCTACAGTGACATAAAACTAGTGTAATAGAGTAGAGACTCAGACCCTCTATAATTCCTGGGCACAGATACAGGAGTCACACAAGCAGTAATAAAAAGACTTCTTAACTCCCAGAGCAAAATATTTTGCCTTAATTCAGCTTGCATAATCTGTCAGTTTCTCCTAAAAGAGCATATAGAAAATTGCTTTTCTAGAACAAAATGGGAAACACAAGGAGAGAGGAAGAGCAGGTTATTTCAATCTAGGCATTCAGATAACTATGGTCTTAATATTTTAACCAAGATTATAAACTCAGGTACTATGTCTTCTTTCTACCATCAGCATAGATACATCGTGTTCTGGAACAGTGGTGCACGGCTTCCAGCCAATTAAGCCATGTTATCAAGTCTGCAGGGCTCCCCATGGGTCCAGAAATTTGACAGTGTGGGAGTAGTGTTTATTACTATTCCCCTGCTGCCAAATTTCTGGACACATAGGGAGCCCCATGCACCAGATAACAAGGCCCTGTGTGCTAGATCAGATCACCAATCAACAATGGGGTCAACACATGGCTGGATCTAGCACATGGGACTGGACTCACATGAGGACCCTGTAATCTAGATCTGGCCCACAGACTAGCCTCATGCCACTCATCCAGCCTGTGGGGCTGGAAGAATGAGCACCTCTGGTCTGTAACATTAACCAAACCTCCACTGAAGTGCAACTGATTAAAGCAAAAGTTAGAGGCACACCCTGAAGACTCTCTGAGTGGGTTCTAACACGTAGGAAACTATTTGCTCCTCCAAAAATCTAAACTAAAGGTTTGGTTGAAGAATTTTGGAAG